GTTAATTAGATCCTGTCTCAAGTAGCCCTAGTATGTGTATGTATGAATGTAAGTTAGGGACCTTAGATTGTACACCCCTTGAGGGTTAGGGACTGCTGTGAATGCACAATATGTATGTAAAGCGCTGCATAAATTGCCAGAGCTATATAAGTACCTGAAATAAATAACACCTTCCCTCCCAGCCTATAGCAGATTGACAGCCGGACAGGACACTCACCGTTGTGACTGGGCGTCATATGATGTCCTATCAAAACAAGCCGCTCACGCGGCCTCGGGGCGCACAGCAGCGCGGTCTGTCACCCGTGGACACAGCTGATGACATACCACTACACCGGCCTGTTGCCAGAGTCACGTGACTGCTGTGACCAATCACAGCAGATCACATATCAATTGTATACAATGGATGGTTTTCTCTCATGCCATTCATTGTATACAATTGTGTCCTAGATTGTAAGCTCCAAGGAACAGGACCCTCAAATCCCTCTTGTATTGAACTGTATCGTTGCTGTATTGTCTCCCGTTATTTTGTAAAGCGCTGAGCAAACTGTTGGCGCTATACAAATCCTGTATAATAATAATAAAGTTATTAGTTGTGATTGGTCAAAGCAGTCACATGACACAGACAGGGCCAATCACAGCTTTGCCCAATCACAGCTAATCACAACAAAAGACTGAATGAATCAATTTAATTCAGTAACAATGATTGCAAATATCAATGAAACACATTGGTATTGGCAATCACAATGTGTAAAAAAAAAAAAATCCTGATCACTTGCCGGAGTAGTTCAATGTTACTACGGTAACATTGTATTGCTTTTTTCACAGCATGCTGAAAAATAAAATAGTAAAAAAAACAAAATGTAGTAAAAGATAAAAAAATAATAGAAACATTTGAAAAAAAAATTCTAATTCAATTATTATCATTATTTTCACCAACGAAATGTAGCAGAATACATTTTGACCTAAATTTATGCAGAAATTTTTTTTATTTGCAAAATTTTATAACTGAAACAAAGAAAAGTGCGTTGTTTTTTTTCAAAAGTTTCAGGTGTTTTTTGTTTTATTTAGCAAAAAATAAAAAACTCAGTGGTGATTAAATACCACCAAAAGAAAGCTCTACTTGTGTGAAAAAAAAATGCAAAAAATTTCATATGGGTACCGTGTTGCATGACCACGCAATTGTCATTCAAAGTGCGACAACGCTGAAAGCTGAAAATTGACCTGGGCAGGAAGGGGGTATAAGTGCCCGGTATTGAAGTGGTTAAATAATAATAATAGAGAGGTATGGAGCCTACCATTGTAGGAGATTAGGAATAAAATACATGTATATGTAAACCCAAAATCAATTTTTTCAGTCCAGCATTTCTCAATATATGCAGATTCTTATGAAAATCATTTTTTGCTTATCTGGTGCAAGCTTCTTACCTGCCTGCAAGTCCTTCTGTTTCAAGCTGACAACGCTAAACCACAGCTTTGCAATTAGCAGTAGTGTTGTCACCTGCCATGTTCACTCCTTCATTTGGCCATTGGGCTGCCTATCAGGCATTTTGGATAGGACACTGAGTTTTGCAGAAAAGATCTTTGTTGAGTAAATACAATACCATCCGTTCATAAAGCACTAGCACTAGCTACTACTGAGCTCAGCTGAAAATACTGGTCACTTTAAAAAAAAAACAAAAAAAAAAAAAAACGGGATCCTTATCCTGGTTTGTTAGCTTTGTGAATTGAGCCTAAAGATAATTCAGTTGTTTGATATTCAGCATTGGACTGGTTTTAAAAGTGTGCAATGCAGAGAGATGAAGTGCAGACTTACTGACTCAAGCAGAACTTAGGCTAAAGTGACCTTCTATAGACTTCAAATGTTGCAATCATGAGCAGGGTAAAGAAAAAAAAAAAGAAAAACTGCACAAAGTCTCACTAAAAGTAGAACTATTTCCTGCCATTGAAAAAGGTATGTGCTGCAGCACTTAATTATTATTATTTTTTTTATTATATTGAATTTTCTAAGTATAAAAAAAATTAATATTACAAAACCATCATAAATTCTGATTACATCATACACATTCCATTAAAACCAATCCCCCCGTCCCCCCAAAACCACCCCCTTCCACACAAAATTAACCTATCCAATTTCATCCTTATCAGGGGCGGATTGACCATTCAAGCACTCGGGTCAGTAAGGGGGCCCCATGAGATGCCCCTGGTACCTTTCATAGGCTTTTGTGGGTGTGTTTGAGTGTGGGCGAGGACACAGGGGCCCTATGATCCCCTATTGCCCAGGGGCCCCATGAGTTGTCAGTCCACCCCTGATCCTTATCCTCTCTTTCCCCTCCTATTGATCTAGATCTCTTTAGCCCTTTAAATTCTACTATTCTACTACCGGGGAACCTTTCATTTTTAAATATTTTTCTGATGTTTTAAACTCATTCCATCTATCCCAAATCTTTCAAAATTTTTCTATTTCATCTTTCTCCATGAAACAAAGTTCCTCCATCATGTTAATATATTCTATTCTATCTATCCAGTCCTTCATTGTTGGTGGATCCTGGGCTTTCCATAATTTGGGGATTAAACCCTTAGCTGCACTAATCAAATGGTATACTAAGCTGTTTTTATATTGTTTTACTGACATCTCTGTTTTAAAGGACACACCCACGGGTCCTTCTGTATAGGCGTCCCCCAAATTTCCTATATATGATGTATTATCTCCTGCCAAAATAACTGAATTTTTGGCCAATCCCACCATATATGAGCCATTGTCCCTATTGCCTCACACCTTCTCCAACATAAAGGTGATACTTCTCGCTGTTTATGTGCCACACTTGGTGTACAATACCATCTGGACAAACATTTATAGTTCATCTCAACTATGTGTTCCTCACCCCGTGCATTAACTTAAACATTTTCCTCTTGGTGATCATTCATTTTTTTTCCCAATTCTCTTTCCCAACCCTCCAAGAATGAAGGGGATCCAGCTCCTCCCAATTCAACCAGGTTCCCGTCTTAAAAACTCAGTTTTTGAATGGGAGCATGTCCCCTCCCGTCCTCAGAGGCTGAGGGAGCGTTGAGAAAATGTGTCTCAATTGGCAATGTCTCAATTTAGTAGTTTGATATTCAGCACTGGACTGGTTTTAAAAAGTGTGCAATGCAGAGAGATGAAGTGCAGACTTACTGACTCAAGTAGAAAGCTAAAGTGACCTTCTATAGACTTCAAATATTCAATCATGAGCAGGGTAAAGAGAAAAAAAAAAAGAGAACTGCACAAAGTCTCACTAAAAGTAGAACTATGTCCTGCAATTGAAAAAGGTATGAGCTGCAGCATTTATTTAATTATAAGCATGACCACACTTGCAGTTTTTAGTTAGTCTCCCTGCAGAGCCCCACAAATAACTGAAGTCCACCTAATACAGCTTCCTGTGATGGTGTGGCAACAATGCTGCACTTCACCTGAATTCAGAGCATAGTTGTCCCCCTAATGTAAGCTGTACCTGCTTGCACCACAGTGAGATGATGTGATAGGGGGTGTGGCTATCAACATTGTTGCTGCTGTATCTTGTCAATCAGCAGTTGACCACACCTAGCCCTGCCCACTGCTACCTGGATTGACAGCTCTGCCTCTGTTACTGAAACTCCCCCACTATGAGCTGCAGTGCCTTGGAGGGGAAGTATGTGATCCACCAATGAAGGAGGATTTGGCTCAGTCAGGGAAGGTGAATGTTTTTTTTTGTTGTCTACTTTATGAGGCTTTTGCATCATATAGACTATCATACAGGACATTTTAGTTGCACTTTAACCTCACACCCCCCTATAATCAGACCCTTCATCTCTCTTCACCACACTGCACACTTCAGTAAATCAGGTCTGTGTCTTTTGATTTTTTTAACACATTGTCAGACTTTCTGGTATCCTTATGTGTAACCCACCTATTGGAGATTATTGCAGCATTCTGATGGTTTTGAGAAATCCTTGTCCACTTCTCATCAGTATACATGACCAGACACATTTGCATGTACTGCGAAGCATAAAAATGTATTCCATAGTTCGGTAATAAAAAGTTACTGCCTGGTCTTTAATTTTATGGCGCACAAATATACATTTCTGCACATAATTTCATGAGGAGAAAAGTAATGGAACCGAATTTGTAATCCTCTTGGTAATTAGCCTTGCTTTAATGTTTCGTACAATCAGACATCATTAAATGGGTTTATGTTGCTCACCTTGACTGGTATATTGTAACATGGAGCAGAGGTAGAAATAAAATATTGATTGATAATTAGCTGCAGATCCCCTAAACTAAATAGCATCAGGTAGGCAGAACTGGTCACAGGCATCACTGAGGCAGGGGAGTCACATGGCATCCCTGATACAAGAGGGGTCACATGTTATGCTTTGTGAAGGATTGTCAGATGCGTTTAGAGCTTCTACTCCATCATATCTGCTGGTTCCAGCATCCTTGTTTTGGCTATGATGCACTCTCCTTGTCTATCCATCTGCAAGGTGATTGATGTGACCAGTCTCTGGGTGGAGACCACACCTGATTTAAACCAACCAAGCCTGTAGTCTCATCCTTGTGATAGCATTTGTAACATGTGTTCCAAGCTCTTTGTTTGTCTGCCCTGCTGATTGGATTTCCCTGTGTATGACCTCAGATGGGATATTAGCTATTCTCTGAACTATTCCTGCCTTTTGACTATGGATTGGACCCGGAATGACCTGAACTTTGCCTGTGTTGTACCTGGACTGTCATTGAAACCCTCTGCCCATCTGCCAACCAAAAGTACTTGTTTGAAGTGCTCAGGTCATGTGGCATCACTGGGGCAGGGGGGATGGATTCACATGGCAACCCTGATATAAGAGGGGTAACATGGCATCAGGTTACACTGCTCAAAAAAAAAATAAAGGAACACTTTGAAAAAACATCAGATCTCAATGGGCAAAAAATCATGCTGGATATCTATACTGATATGGACTGGGTAATGTGTTAGGAATATAAAGATGCCCAGCGGAAGACTGACCATTTGGAAACTCGGGCACTGCCCGAGGGCCCGGGGTCAGTAGGGGGCCCCATGAGATGCCCCTGGTACCTTTTTCATAGGCTTTTTTGAGTTTGGGCAAGGACACAGGGGCCCCATGATCGCCTATTGCCCGGGGGGCCCCATGAGTTGTCAGTCCGCCCCTGAAGATGCCCCATTGTTTGATGGAAATGAAAATTATCAATCTACAGAGGTCTGAATTCAAAGACACCCTGAACATCAAAGTGAAAAAATGATGCAGCAGGCTAGTCCATTTTGCTGAAATTGCATTGCAGCAACTTAAAATGGTACTCAGTAGTTTGTATGGCCCCTACGTGCTTGTATGCATGCCTGACAATGTAGGGTGTTGCTCCTAATGAGATGACAGTTGGTGTCCTGGGGTATTTCCTCCTAGATCTGGACCAGGGCATCACTGAGCTCCTGGGCAGTCGTGCACAGGTGCAAGCTGGCGGTGTCGGATGGACCGAAACCTGATATCCCAGAGGTGTTCTATTGGATTTAGGTCAGGCGAGCGTGGGGGCCATTCAGTGGTATCAATTCCTTCATCTTCCAGGAACTGCCTGCATACTCTCGCCACATGAGGCTGGGCATTGTCGTGCACCAGGTGGAACCCAGGACCCACTCCAACAGCGTAGAGTCTGACAATGGGGCCAAGGATTTCATCCCGATACCTAAAGGTAGTCATGGTGCCATTGTCTAGCCTGTAGAGGTCTGTGCATCCCTCCAGGGAAATGCCTCCCCAGACCATCATTGAACCACCACCAAAACGATCTTGCTGAACGATGTTATAGGCAGCATAATGTTCTCCACAGCTTCTCCAGACCCTTTCACGTCTGTCACATGTTTAGGGCGAACCTGCTCTCATCTATGAAAAGCACAGGGCACCAAAGCAGCTGAAGTTGACTAACAACCCCCTCTGCTACTTAACTGACCAGATCAATATCTCAGGAGTTTAATTGACTTGATGCTATACTCTGATTAAAAAGTGTTCCTTTAATTTTTACGAGCAGTGTATATATATATATATATATATATATATATATATATATCTCAGAGTAGGCAGAAGGCACGCTCAGCAGCTGTTTGTGTGTTCCAGTGATGGATAGTACGACGAGCTTTAAATATCTCTTCCTGTCTATGTGTCCCTAGGCACGCTGGGATGGTTTGACAGGTCGGATCACCTTCAATAGAACGGACGGCTTGAGAAGAGATTTTGATTTGGATATTATTAGCCTGAAGGAGGACGGCATGGAAAAGGTACCAAGTGCTTTTTTTTTTTTTTAATCTCAATGCTTCTTTTACAGGCGAGGCCACACATTGGGAAGAGTTCACTTAGGAAATAAGAGTTTTCAAAGCCTCAGGATTTATATAAATACCTGGGCTGCCTTCCACTAGACAGCAATGTCAGGGTGTCCTATTGTCTGTGTTAACTATAATAATTAAAGGCTTAAAGTTGAATGTGTTTGCTAAAAATATATTGCAGACATGGATGAGTATTAGTTGTGCTGTTGGTGTCACTTGTCTGTATATGTGCATATAAAAGCTTGTGAATCCAATGGAAATGTTAAGGAAATCTTGTTTTTCATATATTGCACAAATGCTAAAACACAGATCTTAAAAACACAACTCTAGGCTTGGCATCTTCTCATTAATTTGCCCCCTCCCCGCCCTTGGAGCACGCCATGACCCTGTTGGAAAAAAATCTGTGTAGATATCTTTTTTTCCAGGTGTTCTACATCCACTCGCATGACGTCACAGGTCCTCTTCATCTTTTTATTTCTCTGCCTGTAAATGCTTCATGCTCTCTGCAGTTTTGTTCTGAGTCCATGGAAGGGGGTGGATCCCTGATGCCATGGGTTCACAGGAAGTAAGTCGAATGACCTGAAACCTGAAAGAAGAGAGGCACAAGAGAGTATAGCAGCCAGAGCATTTTTTTTATTTTTAAAAGATGTCAGGGGTTCATTTTAATTTTTTTCCCAAGCTACACTTGGAGTTTAAGGAACATTCGTTACTTGAGAAATATGGAGATTGCCACTGCTGACTACTCCATCTGAAGATGCTTATTGTCTGGCTGTCATGCCTGTCTAGTATCTTCACTATTCTGACCTGGAACTAGCATGCAGGCCAAAGGTTCTGGTTGCGTTGGAAACAATCAAGCACTAGCATTCTGAAGTCTATGGCAATGTCAATGCCAGTGTACATATTTCTCTCCATTACAGGTTTCCTTTAAAACCAAACTGAACTTTAAAATGATACTAAGCATACACTGTTTAATTTGCATTGTCCCTTCTCTTTCTGTATATGGATGATGGCACTGTAATTATTATAATATAAAAAAAATCGAAGTACCTTTTTCCTAATCAATATACAGCTGTCACATGATCCAGATCTCTCCCAGCCTATCTGCAGGTAAATATAAGCAAGAGGAGCCTCTAGTCCTCTGCTGCTGGTCACATGTTCAAAATAAAAAAAACAGCCTTTGGAATACAGAGTAAAAATAAATAATTAATATCAATAAACTGTTGCATCATCATACAAATGTATATTTGAAAACAAATCTTTATTATTTTTTGGCAATAGCCTATGGGTGGAATTTCTGCCAGTCACAGACTGTGTCACGTCCCCCGAGCCTGTGTCTTAGAATTACAGGGAGGTGAAGCCTCCATCAATTGACATGTATTATCCCATCCCTATTGTGTTTAGCTGGTTAGTGGGCATGGAGGAGAAGGGAGGGAGTGGGCTGTCAATTACCACTGTGTATACGCCCTGATGTGTGACTCTTTAGTCACATGGGCTGCTCAGATGTGATAGGGAGGAAATACTCAGCATAGAAAATCACTGAAAACTGAGCCCGTGCAGAGTTGCCAACACTGCTCTGCAAAATCCCTAGCTGAATTGGGGACTTCAACAGAAAGGTCAACCAGGTTTTTTGAGAATACAGAAAACAAAATTCATAGTGACTGATGACTGAGTGGGTATGAACAGCATGTAATACAGCATTTGCTGATAGTTTTTTATGATGTGGGTTTAGTGACACTTTAAATTTCAATTGAGCTAAATACAGGTACATAAGAAACAAAAGGGTGTGCATGCTGTAAAGTAGGACCCTTACCTTCTGAGTGGAAGGATTGGTCTCTCTGCAGAAATTCAACACACCCCCTGCTGAGTCAGAGATAGAGCTTTCCCATCAGTAGGGAGCATGAGCTCTGCTGACTAGAGAGACATTGCTCTAACTCAGAAGGGGGTGTGCAGAGACACCACTGCTTCAACATGGAGAGAGCAAGGGTCCTTTATGCTGGCAGGGGATGCGCTTTACTATTCAGGATGTGGCTGCTTTTTTTTATTTCTTTTTTTTTTAATCTGCAAACTGAGCTAATTATATCAGCCACCTTGAATTCTGTATATTTTATTTTTCTATTCTATTCTATTCTTTTATTATTCTGGATTGGAACCTTCCCCATTCTACTCTACCTAATTCTGGGGAACCAGTTTGGATGGGGGTGCTCCTTAAAGACAGTTAGCAACTATTTGAAATAAAATATTCTTCTACAGAAGGTAGCAGCTGGTTTTATATCAAATTTGTGCCTCCAAGGGGGTACATATTTATTTTCATAGTTTATTTATGAACTTTGTAACATTTGTATTATTTAGACAAGGCAGACATGAGAATAATTGGATATCTCCGTGAAAGAAAACAACGGATTTAAATAATTCATTTATTTGACTATACAGACATTGTGTGTACTTTTAAGATCACTAGACCATTCAAGGGAAACTGATGGTTTTGGTCAATTGAAGTCTCTTTCTTTTTAAAGTTTAAAAAATATTTGTGTTTCCATTTTTTTTCCTATATTACAGGTACATGACACATGGTTTGCAAAGAATGTCATGCTTCCTAACAATAAAGCCTATCGCTGCCTTTTTGCATTTGGACAGATGTGCTAATCCACCATCTGTACTAGGCTCTAGTGATAAGCTTTGGTTCGGGCTTGGGTTCAAGCCAAACTCAGAAGTTAGTGGTCATTGTTGGACCATTGAGCTGTTGGCAGCAGATTCCCCACCCCACAGTTGTATGTACACAAAGGGGCAAGGATGCTTGTAACATAACTGACCTAATGTGGGAACTTGGCCATATTAGGTCAATGTCATTGAGCTTATATGGTCTTGTGGCTATATTAGGTGGGTATATTAGGTAGATGATGTCAGGAGCATCCCTGCCCCTTTGTGTACATCAACTGTGGGGGGATCTCCTGCCCACAGCTCACTAGTCCAGCAATAACAGCTAACTTCTGAGTTTTGCTTGAACCTGGTTTAAATTGAACCACCCAAGCTTATCCCTACTAGGCACCTAACAATACTCTATTATTTCAGATTTTGTCTGATTCCTGCTAAATCTCATGAAATTCCCTGTCAACACTACACAGCTCAACAAATATTGATTTTTCTATTGACATTTGTCGAAAGAGGTGGGTGGAAATGTGTTGGGCAAACAGCAACTGCTTTGAATCAGATACAGTCACTGTTCAGGTATTCTAACAGGTGCAAGTACATGCAGTAATAATACAGTAACTGGTAGGGGAGATTCCTCTATCCAGACTGTTTAGCGTGGATGGAGGAATATATTAGAGTTCTCTTGTTAAAGTGGTTGTAAACCCTTACATATACCCAGTAAAGTGACTCAACTATCTAGTGATACACAGAGTAAATAAATCCTCCTACATAAGTTGTACCTGTTTATTAGCAGCCTCTCTCCTGTACATCAGTTCAAAGTTCATATTTTACACAGCCTTTCTTAGTTTCAGAAGGCAGGGGGTGGGGATCTGATTGCACACAATGCACAACATACAGCAGAGAGCTGAGTGTAATCTGAAATCTGAGTGGAGGGAATGGGCACACCCCACTTTACTCAGTTTTATAGGGAAGTATGCACAGCTGAGGCTGTCAATCACCTGTTGTGTGTTGGAGGTGGGGCATGGCCTTCTCCCAGAATTGTCTAGTGTAGGTATAGACTGTCAGATGTGACTCACGGAGATAGCAGACGAATGAAAGAGGAGACAGAAATCACGCTAGGTGCTTTTTGGATAGAGGCAAGTACACAATATAGAAGAATACGTTTAGTTAATTTTTTAATTTCAGAGGTTTATAACCA